CTCAGCTGGGACATTGTTGGATATTGTTAGCTTCTCATCAACCTCAGCTGGGACATTGTTGGATACTGTTAGCTTCCCATCAACCTCAGCTGGGACTTGGCTGGATGCTGCCAATTTTCCATTAACCTCAGCAGGGACATGGCTAGACTCTTCAGCTGGGACAATGTTGGATACAGTCAACTTCCCATCAACCCCAGCAGGGAGATGGCTAGACTCTTCAGCTGGAACATTGTTGGATACTGTCCACTTTCCAGCAACCTCATTGGAGACATGGCTAGATGCTGCCAATTTCCCCTCAACCTCAGCTGGGACATTGCTGGATACTGTTAGCTTCCCATCAACCTCAGCTGGGACTTGGCTGGATACTGTCAACTTCCCATCAACCTCAGCAGGGACATGGCTAGATTCTTCACCTGGGACATTGTTGGATACTGTAAGCTTCCCATCAAGCTCCGCAGGGACATTGCTGGATGCGGTCAACTTCCCATCAACCTCAGCAGGGACATGGCTAGACTCTTCAGCTTGGACATTGCTGGATGCTGCCAATTTCCCATCAACCTCAGCTGGGACATTGTTGGATACTGTGAGCTTCCCATCAACCTCAGCAGGGACATGGCTAGATGCTGCCAATTTTCCATCAACCTCAGCAGGGACATGGCTAGACTCTTCAGCTGGGACATTGCTGGATGCTGCCAATTTTCCATCAACCTCAGCAGGGACATGGCTAGACTCTTCAGCTGGGACATGGCTAGATGCTGCCAATTTCCTATCAACCTCAGCAGGGAGATGGCTAGACTTCTCAGCTGGGACATTGCTGGATGCTGCCAACTTCCCATCAACCTCAGCAGGGACATGGCTAGTCTCTTCAGCTGGGACATTTGCCGTCAACTCCCCATCAACCTCAGCAGGGACATGGCTGGCCTCAGTGAGCTTCCTTTCAACCTCAGCAGGGACATGGCTAGACTCTTCAGCTGGGACATTGTTGGACACTATCCACTTTCCAGCAACCTCATTGGAGGCATGGCTAGATGCTGCCAATTTCCCCTCAACCTCAGCTGGGACATTGCTGGATGCTGCGAATTTCCCATCAACCTCAGCTGGGACATTGTTGGATACTGTGAGCTTCCCCTCAACCTCAGCTGGGACATTGCTGGATGCTGCCAATTTTCCATCAACCTCAGCAGGGACATGGCTAGACTCTTCAGCTGGGACATTGTTGGATGCTGTCAACTTCGGATCAACCTCAGCTGGGACATTGCTGGATGCTGCCAATTTCCCACCAACCTCAGCAGGGACTTGGCTAGACTCTTCAGCTGGGACATTATTGGATACTGTCCACTTTCCAGCAACCTCATTGGAGACATGGCTAGATGCTGCCAATTTCCCATCAACCTCAGCAGGGAGATGGCTAGACTCCTCAGCTGGGACATTGTTGGATACTGTTAGCTTCCCAACAACCTCAGCAGGGACATGGCTAGACTCTTCAGCGGGGACATTGCTGGATGCTGCCAATTTCCCATCAACCTCAGTAGGTACATGGCTAGACTCTTCAGCTTGGACATTTGCCGTCAACTCCCCATCAACCTCAACAGGGACATGGCTGGCCTCAGTGAGCTTCCTTTCAAACTCAGCAGGGACACTGCTGGATGCTGCCAATTTCCCATCAACCTCAGCAGGGACATGGCTAGACTCTTCAGCTGGGACATTGCTGGATGCTGCCAATTTCCCATCAACCTCAGCTGGGACATTGTTGGATACTGTTAGCTTCCCATCAACCTCAGCTGGGACATTGTTGGATACTGTTAGCTTCTCATCAACCTCAGCAGGGAGATGGCTAGACTCTTCAGCTGGGACATTGTTGGATACGGTCCACTTTCCAGCAACCTCATTGGAGACATGGCTAGATGCTGCCAATTTCCCATCAACCTCAGCAGGGAGATGGCTAGACTCCTCAGCTGGGACATTGCTGGATGCTGCCAATTTCCCATCAACCTCAGCAGGGAGATGGCTAGACTCCTCAGCTGGGACATTGCTGGATGCTGCCAATTTCCCATCAACCTCAGCTGGGACATTGTTGGATACTGTTAGCTTCCCATCAACCTCAGCTTGGACTTGTCTGGATGCTGCCAATTTTCCATCAACCTCAGCAGGGACATGGCTAGACTCTTCAGCTGGGACATTGTTGGATGCTGCCAATTTCCCATTAACCTCAGCTGGGACATTGTTGGATACTGTTAGCTTCCCATCAACCTCAGCTGGGACATTGTTGGATACTGTTAGCTTCCCATCAACCTCAGCAGGGAGATGGCTAGACTCCTCAGCTGGGACATTATTAGATACCGTCAACTTCCCATCAACCTCAGCAGGGACATTGTTGGATACTGTCAACTTCCCATCAACCCCAGCAGGGAGATGGCTAGACTCTTCAGCTGGGACATTGTTGGATACTGTCAACTTCCCATCAACCTCAGCAGGGACTTGGCAGGATGCTGTCAATTTCCCATCAACCTCAGCAGGGACATGGCTGGATGCTGTCAATTTCCCATCAACCTCAGCAGGGACATGGCTAGACTCTTCAGGTGGGACATTATTGGATACTGTCAACTTCCCATCAACCTCAGCAGGGACTTGGCTAGACTCTTCAGCTGGGACATTATTGGATACTGTCCACTTTCCAGCAACCTCATTGGAGACATGGCTAGATGCTGCCAAATTCCCATCAACCTCAGCAGGGAGATGGCTAGACTCCTCAGCTGGGACATTGTTGGATACTGTCCACTTTCCAGCAACCTCATTGGAGACATGGCTAGATGCTGCCAATTTCCCATCAACCTCAGCTGGGACATTGTTGGATACTGTTAGCTTCCCATCAACCTCAGCAGGGAGATGGCTAGACTCCTCAGCTGGGACATTGCTGGATGCTGCCAATTTCCCATCAACCTCAGCAGGGAGATGGCTAGACTCTTCAGCTGGGACATTGCTGGATGCTGCCAATTTCCCATCAACCTCAGCTGGGACATTTTTGGATACTGTGAGCTTCCCATCAACCTCAGCTTGGACTTGTCTGGATGCTGCCAATTTTCCATCAACCTCAGCAGGGACATGGCTAGACTCCTCAGCTGGGACATTGCTGGATACTGTCCACTTTCCAGCAACCTCATTGGAGACATGGCTAGACTCTTCAGCTGGGGCATTAGATACTGTCAACTTCCCATCAACCTCAGCAGGGACTTGGCTGGATGCTGCCAATTTCCCATCAACCTCAGCAGGGACATGGCTAGACTCTTCAGCTGGGACATTGTTGGATACTGTCCACTTTCCAGCATCCTCATTGGAGACATGGCTAGACTCTTCAGCTGGGACATGGCTAGACTCTTCAGCTGGGACATTGTTGGATGCTGTTAGCTTCCCATCAACCTCAGCTGGGACATTGTTGGATACTGTTAGCTTCCCATCAACCTCAGCAGGGAGATGGCTAGACTCCTCAGCTGGGACATTGCTGGATGCTGCCAATTTCCCATCAACCTCAGCAGGGAGATGGCTAGACTCCTCAGCTGGGACATTGCTGGATGCTGCCAATTTCCCATCAACCTCAGCTGGGACATTTTTGGATACTGTGAGCTTCCCATCAACCTCAGCTTGGACTTGTCTGGATGCTGCCAATTTTCCATCAACCTCAGCAGGGACATGGCTAGACTCTTCAGCTGGGACATTGTTGGATGCTGCCAATTTCCCATCAACCTCAGCTGGGACATTGTTGGATACTGTTAGCTTCCCATCAACCTCAGCTGGGACATTGTTGGATACTGTTAGCTTCCCATCAACCTCAGCTGGGACATTGTTGGATACTGTTAGCTTCCCATCAACCTCAGCTGGGACATTGTTGGATACTGTTAGCTTCCCATCAACCTCAGCAGGGAGATGGCTAGACTCCTCAGCTGGGACATTATTAGATACTGTCAACTTCCCATCAACCTCAGCAGGGACATTGTTGGATACTGTCAACTTCCCATCAACCCCAGCAGGGAGATGGCTAGACTCCTCAGCTGGGACATTGCTGGATACTGTCAACTTCCCATCAACCTCAGCAGGGAGATGGCTAGACTCTTCAGCTGGGACATTGTTGGATACTGCCAATTTCCTGTCAACCTCTGTAGGGACATTGCTGGATGCTGCCAATTTCCTATCAACCTCAGCAGGTACAAGGCTAGACACTTCAGCTGGGATATTGTTGGATTCTGTCCACTTTCCAGCAACCTCAGTGGGGACATTGCTGGATGCTGCCAATTTCCCATCAACCTCAGCAGGTACAAGGCTAGACACTTCAGCTGGGATATTGTTGGATACTGTCCACTTTCCAGCAACCTCAGCAGGGACATTGCTGGATGTGGTCAACTTCCCATCGACCTCAGCAGGGACATGGCTGGATGTGGTCAACTTCCCATCGACCTCAGCAGGGACATGGCTAGACTCTTCTGGGGGGACATTGCTGGTTGCTGTCAACTTCCCATCAACCTCAGCAGGGACTTGGCTGGATGCTGTAAACTTCCCATCAACCTCAGCAGGGACATGGCTGGATACGGTCAACTTCCCATCAACCTCAGCTGGGACATTGTTGGATACTGTCAACTTCCCATCAACCTCAGCAGGGACATGGCGGGCCTCAGTGAGCCTCCCTTCAACCTCAGCGGGGACATTGCTGGAAGCTGCCAATTTCCCATCGACCTCAGCAGGGACATGGCTAGACTCTTCAGCTGGGACATTGCTGGATGCTGTAAACTTCCCGTCAACCTCAGCAGGGACATGGCTGGCCTCAGTGAGCTTCCGATCAACCTCAGCTGGCACATTGTTGGATACTGTCCACTTTCCAGCAACATCAGCTGGGACATGGCTAGACTCTTCAGCTGGGACATTGTTGGATACTGTTAGCTTCCCATCAACCTCAGCAGGGACATGGCTGGCCTCAGTGAGCTTCCCATTAACCTCAGCAGGGACATGGCTAGACTCTTCAGCGGGAACATGGCTTGATGCGGTTAACTTCTCATCCACCTCAGCAGGAAGAGGGTTGGTCTCCATCAATTTCCAATCAATGCCTAAAGAATATTGGTTTAAAAAAAAAAAAAGTTCTCTTTCCTCAGTGTCTGTGTCAACCTCAAAGCATCAGCACAAAACTCACCTTTTTGGATAGTTAGCCCAGATGCATTCGGCAAAGACATCTCAACAGCCATTTTACATTTCACTACCACTGGCCATGTTGGATTTTGTCTGTTCACACAAGGGACAGACAAGGGACCATCTGGAAAATAAAATGTATTACTAACTTGAATACAAGTAATCAGGCCCCGTTAAAGTTAACTTTGGATAGGGTAAAAAAAAAAAAAAAAAAGCACAATGTTAACCACTATATAATAGTTACAAACCTTTGCTCTCCAAGCGTGCTTGTTCAATATCAGTCTGGTAAAAATGACGCCCAACTGGAGAGGCAAATCCTGAAAACAAGATGTAAGGTTAAAAAAGAAAAACATTACAAATGTATTTCACATTTGAAACATTACACTAAAGTGAAAACAGCTTTACCATTGGGCACCAGTTGGTGACACAAAAAGACCAAAAACAAAAAGTTTGAAATTGCCATCTTGATTACAGATGAAACAATCACCATCCTCTCTATGCTTTCTAAAAACAGTCTTCAAGCCAGGGCTTTTAAAAAAACACAGATTTTCATCACCTGGGATTGTTACAGTGAAATTAGTGACAGAGGATCTGCTCGTTAACATTCCCGTGCACTCATTGGTTGGTTGAAAAATCACTATTGTAATTTGCTAATTTTATCTTTCCTTAACACATCAGATTATATGTTTTTTTTCTATTAAACTAGACCATTTCTCAGACACAAAAACAACTAAGTTGAATTTAAGTGACAACATCTAAACAGATAAATAAAGAGGGAAAGTGTCAAAAGAGTCAAACAAAGTAAATTAATTATTTAGCTCATTACGCTACTTTATTTTAAAAACTACTGTCAAACATTAAAAAAAATGTAGTCAAGATAGTACTGTTGCTACTTTAACCAGAGCACTATTCTGCAAGCAGTGCACAAATCAAAGTTGTTTGTCATGAATATTACACTACAAAAAAAAAAGATTTTCTTCCTGAGTCTCTAAACATTCTTAAATCAAGATACATTTACTTGAGAATCAAGATGACATTATATATTAAGTCTTGTTGTCTAAAAAATCATCATGAGTTTATGCTGAACACAAGAACACATTCTGCCAGTATAATCAGAAAAATAATTTTGAAAGTAATTTTATTTTTCTGAGCTGACTGACTTAATGTTAAGCTGGTTATGTGTAAGTAAATATGAACATAATATTCATACATTTTTTTGTATACTGTCTTAACACTTGATGGCTGCTCTGTCAAGTCTCCGTCGGTAAGGAACCTGGGTGAGCTCTTTGATACCAATCTTTCATTTGAAAGTCACGTTTCTAGTATCTGAAAAACCACATTTGAAGGAGCTTCGCCTGGACCTGATGACAATGCAGTGCTGAAGTGTCAACTATCCTCTCGCTATGGAGGATCCCTTTCCCACTCTACAGATAAAGCGTTGTTGAAAATCCGGTTCACGCACCCCGAAGTGATAAAATAAAACAAAATTCTTTATCTAATGTATAGGCAAGACAAGTAGTTTGTTTAGGAATTGTTTGTAGGGAAATTACAAACCTGCGCACATATATTCAAACGAATATAACTATAGAATCAATTCTTAATGCGCATGTGAACGCCATCAGGTCACAGGTTCGAGTTTAAAGTCTGTTTAGAGAGAACGCCGTCGTCTTAGTGCCCCCTAATTTGATAACAAATGATAATTTTGCTGGAAGAGAATCAATCAAAACTAACTTTAGCTGGAAATAACATTATTCAAAAATCACTATAAAGTCAAAACAATCTCTGTTACCGTAAATTGTATGTTTATCTCTGTAAAGCTGCTTTGAAACTATCTACATTGTTAAAAGCGCTATATAAATGAAGATGACTTGACTTGACATTCTTCCATCTTAAAAATATATCTAAATTACAACATATGCTATTAATGACAAATGTGGAACAGCTAGTTCATGCGTTCATGACATCAAGGCTAGATTATTGTAATGCTCTACTGGGTGGTTGCCCTGCACGTTGATAAACAAACTACAGCTGGTCCAAAACGCAGCAGCTGGAGTTCTTACCAGAACCAGGAAGAATGACCATATTAGCCCCGTTCTGTCAACACTTCATTGGCTCATGTGGAAGAAATGTAATATGTTCTACATGTTATCATTTTCTTATATTCATAGAACCTTAGACACATAATGTTAATTAGATTAAGGTAATAAAATGCACGAGGATTGCATGTGGAGCCCCATGATTCTCTGCTACATTGATAGAACAATGAACTGTTACTAAAACCTAATGAATGTATGTATGTGTGTGCTGTAGCTTATGTCTAGCTGTGTTTCTTCTCCGCCTCCCACTGGACATTTAAGGTACTGCACTATCTTTATAGTTTACTTTCGGTTCAAAAAACGCGGTCAAGAACAACGTGCACGCAGTTTCTATCGTCGGCTATTGATTCGATCGTTTAAACCTTGGAAATATATGTCTGTATAAGTGCAATTTTTACACTAAATAGTGATTTAAAGTGTTTAAGAATGATTAGATAGAGATTATTGTTATATATTTGTTATAAGCACACCTGATTCGTGTTATTGGTAACGTGCTATGTTTGGCGCGTACTGACATGCTAATTTCTCTTCTGTTTGTGCATAATATAATTTGAATATAATTTCTCTGTGTATATTACTTAAAATGATGTAAAAGGAACTGTGTTCAAAATCAAACCGTAATGTTTAGCTGATGTGTATGTAAATGTGAACATTAAGTTCATACATATTTTTCTAATTGTTAGTAGTTTTACAGAAAAAATATTGAGAAGTGAATCACCAGTAAAGTCACTAAAGTTATGAAGACTGCTTTCTGGAGTTCTTTTTTTCAAATTGTATGCTAAGTCTGTTAAGCCTTAGCTCAAGCTACGCAATTGGTCAGAACAGAATAATCTGTATGACCTTGTATAAGTGACTTGACAAAAAGTAATGCGTGGCTTATGTGTATGACCGAGACAGAGGGCCTCCACTATAAGATAAGCAAATCTAACAAAGTGTTAGTTATGGCTAAGGCATATCTTCATTTGGCTTAGAGAAATAACCTTGGGGAGGCAGGGTAGGGACTATAAAGAAGGAAGGATGCCCTCCTCACATTGTCACAGTCTGCAGCCACTCTGTGTGACTGTATGATTGCTGACCGTTCCTTTCAAGGGAATAAATAATCTTTAAAGACAATTGGTACATGTTTGTCTCTTAGATAGAAACTTATTTGCCACCACAGCTCCCTATTAAACATTGTATAAATTTTAAAATATTGCTGATTACTTACAAAGCACTAAATGGTTTAGCCAGTACTTGAGCGAGCTCTTAACGCATTATAACCTTCACGTCTATTACGATATCAAAATTCCGGAGAGTTGATAATACCTAAAATATCAAAATCGACTGCTGGCGGTATATCCTTTTCCTATTTAGCACCAAAACTTTGGAACAGTCTTCCTACCATTGTCCGGGAAGCAGACACACTCTGTCAGTTTAAATCTAGACTAAAATCACACATCTCTTTGACCTAGCATACACAACATATTATCAATTTTTATAATTCAATGTTAGACTGCATAGATTATGTCAGCCGGAACCGGGAACACTTCCTATAAATCCTTATGTACTCGTTGCACCCTAAGAAAAATGGCGTCTGATTCCTGTCAGGACAACTATCGTCAAATACGATTGACAATTAGCGTACAGTTTGGATTGGCGGTATGGTTCCGTTCTGGGCAAGAACTCCCTGCGCATCCATGCAGCCTAACATGCATAAGAGCAGGGAGAGCAGCAATAACCCCCCAAAACAAAACCATATGCCAATATCCCCCAACATAAACTGAGCGCAAATCTGAATGTTTTTTTTTTTTTTTTGCAGTTACCCGAGTGAGCCAAGGCAACAAGCATGTTGCCAGTACCTAAAAAGCTTGGGCAACAGCATGTTACCAACAATACCGGAAAGCCTTAAGCAACAAGTAATATTCAACAATATTAATGATCTGACAACAATGCTGTATGAAAACTGAACTGGATGACATTTTTTTTGTAACTGCTTTACAGATGAAATTAATTTAATAATTTATCTTTTCAACTGAACTGAATCAACACTGAACTGACTTAAGCTGAAATGCACAATTTTCCTGTTATCATTGTAAATCTGTTTTGAAACAACTTGTATAAAGCGCTTCATAAAGGTGACTTCACATTCTGCACAGGGACATGCAATACTCACCCAAAAACCACATTGTGCCAATTTTTAAATGCAGTTTTAGGGTGCATTTTATTGACAACAAAATACTAAAAGGTATGTTGAGGTTTCACATACAGACAACATCACAGTTACAAGACATCCAAATTCACAGATCAACAAAAGCAACTAAAAACACTGTATTCTGCTGCCTGGCCAGTAGTTGACTATATCCCTTATACATGCCTGTGCACAAGCATTCTTAGACACATTTAAATACATCTCCACTGTTTGTAGTAAAGCTACACTTTGCTGAAGAAGCGTTAATAAACTCCATATATTGAGCAGCGCAAACAGTCCAGTTCAATTTTTTTGAAGACATTAGAGATTCATTAGGACACGTTATGCAAAAGATGAATCAAACAAAAGAGAACAGATATTTTCCAGAAAAATAGCTGGTTTTATTGACTAAAATCAAGATCTGAAAGTTAAATCAATTTTGTGTGTTTGTGCTCAAGTCTGGCAAATTTAGTCCATTTCCCCTCAAACTCAGCAGGGATTTGGCTGGACTGTTCAGCTAGGATATTGCTGGATGCTGTCAACTTCCCATCAACCTCAGCAGGGACTTGGCTAGACTCTTCAGCTGGGACATTGTTGGATGCTGCCAATTTCCCATCAACCTCAGCAAGGACATGGCTAGACTCTTCAGCTGGGACATTGTTGGATACTATTAGCTGCCCATCAACCTCAGCTGGGACTTGGCTTGATACTGTCAATTTCCCATCAACCTTAGCAGGGACATGGCTAGATTCTTCAGCTGGGACATTGTTGGATACTGTTAGCTTCCCATCAAGCTCCGCAGGGACATTGCTGGATGCGGTCAACTTCCCGTCAACCTCAGCAGGGACATGGCTAGACTCTTCAGCTTGGACATTGCTGGATGCTGCCAATTTCCCATCAACCTCAGCTGGGACATTGTTGGATACTGTGAGCTTCCCATCAACCTCAGCAGGGACATGGCTAGATGCTGCCAATTTTCCATCAACCTCAGCAGGGACATGGCTAGACTCCTCAGCTGGGACATTGCTGGATGCTGCCAACTTCCCATCAACCTCAG